AGCTGTCTCCACAACTGTGCTCCAGCCAGCGCTGCACAGAGACGTCTCTGAAGTGCTGGCAAGAGAACTCAAAGAGATTCCAGCAGGCAGAGGAGATCCCCTGCCAGGCTAAAGGGAGGAAGGGACTGAGGGAAAAGGGCTCTTTGGGCTATTTAATCCTTTATTTTCATGTCTGAAAAAAGGACAGCAGGAAGCAGGTGGTACTAAAGGAATGCATTTTTCATCAAAAAGTGGCACAATTCTTTCTGTAAGCCTTTTCGTGCTCTCATGAAGGAGTAACTTTTGCTTCTCAATGGGATCAAAAGAAGTCTGCCAGAGTGTCAAAAGAAAGGTGGAAGTTAACCTCATGACATGGCAATAGGATAAACTAGTACGAAGAAAGATTATACTGTAAAGACCTTTTATGACTGAGAAGAAACTTGTGTTTGGTTCAGCAAAAGAGATGTTAAACCAGAGGATTAAGAAGGGAGGGAACGTAGTAAAAATGACAAACCAGAGAGCTGCCTATTAGCAGCACCATTTTGAATAAGCAAGGTTGCAGGGGTCAAGGCAAGAGAGAGGAATAATTGCCAGGACACGAGTTTTGCCAGTGCAGATAGAAGAGAAAGATTACGCCTCTGAGCTGCTGTGCTAGATGCAGTAAGATTTCAACACCACCAAGGAGAAGTAAAAAAAAGAAGGAAGACAAAGAAAGCATGACTTTACATATGGTATGCAAAGCCATACTTGTTGATAATGGCAGCCAGACAGTGTGAGGAGAGCCAAAAATAAAAAATACAGAAGAGAAAATGCAGATGGAAACCTAGTGCACCCTCAGCAGAAGAAAAGGAGGAGTCAGCAACAAGGACTTAAGAAACTGAAGTGAAGAGTCAGGAGAGAACATTTTTAAAAATCAAGTGTTGATTAGACTTTGGAAGAGGAATGAGAGTGCCAAAGACAAAGAGACAATAATGAAACATAGCCCTTCATGTCTGAGACGCTCACTAGAGATACCAATATGACTAGCTTCATATGAGGGAGGAAGGGATGAGCCAGACTGAAGGAGCTCTAGATTGTAATTAAAGCAGTTTTGGACTGATTAAAACTGATTAAAACATGACGAGAGATGACGGGAATAAAGCAGTGATAGTTCCAGGAAGGGAATCTAACTGGTGTTTTCATGATAGGGAAGATCTATGACTACCGACGTTTATTTTAGAGAAAAGTTAAGGCCTTCAAGAAATAGAGGAAAACAGAAGGCAGGGTAAAGTAGACACACATGATAGGAAGGAAAGGGATAACAAGGCAGGAAGGGAAAGAAAAGAAGTCAACACTTCTGTGACAGCAGAGTGAGAAGTAAATGTGCAAAAGGTTAATGACAAAAGTAAGTCATATTGTATTATAACTGTTTGATTTCTCTGCAGAGGCAAATAAGGTGGTTATGATAGAGTCTACTTTCTGATGGGGAGCTCAAAGAAAGAGAGACACCCAGTGAAATCCAAATAAAGCAAGTCACATTTTTTGTGAGAAATGTGGATGCAGATCTGTGAGTCAAGAGAAGAGGTAAGGACATACTGATAGACAGCTAAAATGTCAGACTAAGTGTCCCCACAGAAAAGTAGCTCAAGAGTGAACATGTTGATGTAGAAGTGGTAATCGCTGTCCAGGAGTCAATGTCTTATCAGTAATCAGAGTCAGCATTTCTCATTACAGCAGTACAACCGAAATCCAAAAACTGATCAGAAAGATTCTTAGATCAGTGTGGTCATGCAGTAAGCAAATGGCTCTCCCGAGAAGATTCAAGTAGGAGCAAAAAAAAACGAATCCCTCCTTTAGGTTGTAGCATTGCTCTGTTGATTACCTTGTAATGTTTTTCCTAACCAATAAGCACAATTTTATTTCCAACTTCCAGCCTTACATATACCTGCTTAGCCTTGCGTGCAAAATTTACAAAGCTTTAGCTGGTCAGCACTGGGAATTCTCTGCCTTTCCTCTGAATCTTAGTTACATAATAGCTTGAGCTAAGCAATCAAAATGGTAATAGGTCAAAAGGAAGACTTGCCTGAGGTGATGCAGAAAGTTGATGGCAGAGCTTGAAGTAGAATACACGTTTCTCTGCTATTCTGGCAGCACAAAAACCACTGAGTTTCCTTTACTCGTTAGGTTTTGTTAGCTTCTTTTCAAAGTAGTGTTTCTGAGGCCAAAGCTAAGAAATGGAATGGCATTGAAAGAGCTAACAAGCCAAAGATATACCCCCAACAAATGGAGCTCCTTCCTAACTCTCAGTGGCACTTCCGTGACTTAACTAATAAATGGCTCTAACAATAAATATTTTCCACATCCCTGGCACACTTCTCCATGTCATTTCAACTGTCTTTAAATCACTGAAGTTGTTGAGAAGAGCGGAGAGAGAATAAGATGATTCTCTTGAAGTCCAGTCTTTCACTTGGATTTTACACTCTCCACCTTCGAAAGATGCAAGTCCAAAGATGCCATAGCTCTTTGGTACTGACATTTCTAGGAATAAAAGATTGACTTGAAAGTTATTGTTCAACCTCCCTCACATCTGTTTTGTGAGAATAAGTGACAACTCTTGAAAATTTTAGATGGTAAGTGCTGGCGGCAGCAAATACAATGCTGAAATTTACAGGGAGGATGACTTAAACATTTTTTGACGTTGCAGAACATTGCAACAGTTACCTGTCAGCAATGCAGGATGCAGTAAATATGCCAAGCAGGGAACTAAGAGAGCTGAGACTCCCAAGGCCCACTGTCTCAGATGACAGCTATGATTAAAATGACACTAACCCCCTGCACTTCAAAATGTCACTCTTCAGATACTATAGGGCTAAGACCCATCTGTGATTCATTAAGGAACGTGCTACGCACCTTAACATTACTCGCCTTCATGCCATGAAGCCTTTCCCAGAACTTTCAGGACTTTCTCATATAAGTAATGAGCTTATCTGGTCATCAGCTTGTTAAGGAAATGCCTGCAGAACTGAATACTAGGCACCTAGCATTTCAGGTAAGAAAAGCTGTCAAATAGGCTTTTCATGAATAAAAGGGATGATTATCAGTTATAGTGATAATTATTATTATTTTCATTATCACAGAGTCAGGAATCCCTGCTTATAGAGTAGAAACCTTCATGCTATGTGATTAAAAAAAAAAGAGTAAAAAGACTTCCTATCCCAGGAAATTTGCAGTCTAAAACAATTGACAGCTGATGGATCCAGGCAGATGGCGAAGAAGGGCAGCAATAAAAGAATTTTGATCAGCACTAATAGTAGATATTTCAGCACAGACTTACAAAGTTTTTATAAGCATGAAAGATCGTTGCTCAAGGGCAATTATGGTGAAATTACACAAGATAGATGTAAAGCTATATAGATGTTGAACAAGTTATCTGTGTTTCTGCTTTTGTTTAGGAAGCTCATCAAAAATTGTTTCTGTAAAGAAAATTATTTAAAAAGTTGTCTCGTACAGGGCTAGGGAAATATTGCAAGAATGCAGGTTATCATGAATTAATACTCGATACAAGAGGATTACAAATGCTGGGCCGATTATATCATTAGATTAGCACAGTTTCGTCTGCTTATTTCTGTGGGCATTCCAAAGACGTACTGAAAATAGCAATTGCTTACAGGCCTTTTATCCAAACTTAAGCACACACGTTTGCCACCGAGAATTGAAAATAAAAACTTGAGATCTGATTAGGAAGTAGTTAGATATCCCCCTATGGCATTTACAATAAAAAAAAATTGTTAGCAGTGTACTATGTAACAGAACAATATTACAGCGCAATACAATATTGCCACAAGCAGCTTCGTCCCAAGTAGAAATACAGGAAAAAATCAGAACAAGTTTGACTTAAGACTATGTGGCTGATCTCAGGTTACCTGATTATGCTTAACTTCTCCATGTTTTTAGTTTTTTTGTTTCATAAAGCACCATGCTGCTCTCCGTGCTATAAAACTGCTCTAACACTCGGAAAAGCAACTTGTTATGGCAGCGCTAACCAGTACTCGTTACCAGCAATGCCTGAGAACCTAAATCAGAAAATACGTCCGACTGCGATCAAAGGCAACATGTCTTATTTATTCATTTTCAGCGAAAAGAGCAGCCAACCAGCCCAAGTAAGTACCTTTATAATTTTATAATTTTATCTTGAAGCGGACACATGCAGCCCGTGTTTTCTAGTGACGTGCTCACTGCGGTGCGGTTTGTAATAACGCCAGACCCAGGCCCCTACTTTCCGACGATGATTTCGGGAGGCAGCTGGCGCCCGCTGGCCGCCGCGGCGAT